TAAGATGCAGAAATGTCTCATTCACTCAAACAAACTTACTGTATACTCAAAGTGAATATAAGGGGGTGTTGTGCTACATGGACTGGGAAGCCCCCTGAGGCAAATGTGTGTTCTATATATAAAAATGTCTTCATTCATACAGGACTGAATTACTGACCTCCTTGATAGCAACAGAGCCTTGTGGCAGAGGTGTTCTCTCTGCAGACAGGCCGCCCAGTGTGTCTTGATTCTCCTGCTGCTGCCGGTGTTTCCCCAGCAACAGGCAGAATGGTGTCATGGCGATACTGTCATCGATCACCAGCTAGAAGTGGGGGGAGGAACACAAGCAAGGTCAGGGAAACAAAAAACGTCTCACATGGATGACAAGGTCTGCAGTTTTAAGTGGTGGGGCTGGAGTGAATCTTCATGTGATAGAGAGATGTGAACGATTAGTGTAACGTTCTGCATAGTTATAACAACATGGGCCTCAAAAACAAAACAGGGATCCAAACAGCTTATTTACTGAATGGCTTTAGTTAACTCTCACTTATAACATTAGCTAAATACAATGAGCTGGAGAGTCACCATGACTTCGTCTGTATTCATTTCAGAAGAAAACATCAACATGACCTAACATGTTCCACTTGGTGAGCGTGAGGAGCTAACTGCAGGCTATCAGAGATCAACTGTGGTCCATGCAGAATTCAGGAAACTGCTGCAAACCTCCTCAGAGCGAAAGAGCGTGAGTTTTTAAGAAGCCGGCTAAAAAGGCCTGAAACCGTCTGATGCTGAGCAGTGATTGGTCCACGTGACTCTACCTGCTTGCTGGAGGCCATCAGTTTGTCCTCCTCTGCTTTGGTGCTGAACGTCATGAGGTCCTGCAAAAAAAGTCCAAATAAGTCAACTGCACGGAAACAATAGAATTTTTACTCAACATCACATGTATCTAGAATTTCATTGCCTTGATATTTAGAATGGTCCTGGGGGCAGACATATAACAGATTAGAAAGTTTTGCTCGCTATAAATGTTGTTCACGCCTTTCTTTTTATGAGGTTTTAGGGCAGGAGATGAGTTCACCACGAGAGAAAAACACAACTGATATCTTATCACCCTATAGATTATGAAGTAGGCCTCTCTGGGCCAATAAATTATAAATATGCCACCAGAGTTAAAACCTGTAAGTGGAGCACCCCCTTTGGACCAGTCACTGCAATTCCAAATAGCGCTCAAAGCACAGTGAGAAAAGTCATCACCCAAATATAAAATCTAAACAACCGAGTGGAGGGGTGAAATATGAAACAGCAATAATACAATTTATTATAAGGCTGACACCATTGGAATGAAACTGAAAACCAAAGAACATCAATGCTGGATCTCACTAATGCTCTTGTAGCTGCCGCAACCAGGTTGTAAAATATAGTCAAAGCCCTCTCTGAGGACTGGGGGCTGTTATGGCAGCAGATCAACACAGATGGGTTGGGAATCACATGTTGTATTTTCTGTTCCATTTTGTAGAAAACATTTTCTTTACAGGTGTTTGTGAGACCGTTGTCTTTACCATGTACTGAGTGAGGAAGTAGAGCTGAGAGTAGTTGAGCCACTGGCTGCTCTCCTCACAGCTCTCCAGCATCTCCTCCCTCGGAGCGAAGACAGCCCGAGTCACCTTCCCTGAACACACAGCCTTATAGGAAAACACTGGCCGGGGCTCGTTTGGCTTAAAAACAAATACTGAAACAGAGAAGAAAAAAAACCCTGTAAAAATCAGGAAACACTGATGTCTATATTCAGACTAAATAACTTATCAGACGGCTTCAAATAAATGAAAGAGTAAAATTGGTGATTCTTACCAACATTTAAAAACATTTTTTTCTGTGTGGTTTGAGATGTGAGTTTAGAAATATAGATTTGAGGGGCGATATTGACGCTTACAGTCAGTGGATCCAGCCTGAGAGCAGAAGGCAGCTATATTCTCAGAGAGAGGGTCCACCAGAAGAAGGTTGGTCTCCATGACAGTGCTCCACTCCACTGTCAGAGAGGACAGAGGAAAACAGAGGAAGAGGATGAGTTTTAAGTCTAGTTTTGTGGATGGACAAATCAAATCATCCTAATGCATTCATTTGCATTTTTATTCATGACATATGCACAAGTGGCCTTACAGGAGCAGGTGAGGAGGTTCCAGCAGCAAAGCAGGTTGTTCGCAGTGGCTCCCAGCAGATACTTGGAACAGCTTAGACGCCCAAAACAAAGTTGCCTGAAGGCGAAACAAAGTTTTAAGTTTCCCTGTGACTGTGAAGAATCCCAAGTACATCCCCCTACCGCCAAGCTCCACACATATTTCACAGGATTAGCTTTTGAAGAGTTTTTTCCCTTCGAGAGCTTCAAATGGGAACAGCAGGGTCCGAACACCCACCAAGAGCCAATGAGAGATGAATCAATGACGCCCAGCTTTTCAGCCCTTAAATTCCTGCTCTCGACAATAGTCTGTGACATTCCCATGAAAAAAAGATGTAATAATTACTACTTAATATGTGTTTTACCAGCCTTAGGACACCGAGCCAAGGAATTCATTCCAGAAGTTATGAGTGGAGCAGGTGAGGATGGAAGTGAAACAGTTGACCCAGCTCTACACATCCAGAGGTGGTAGTTATGTAAGGGGCACTTTGCAGCTGTCACAACAGCTGACTTCATTAATAAATTAAACACAAACTGCCTGCACATTAGAAGAGGTTGCCTGATTGACTGCCAGTTGATTATAAAGAGACCTTTGTTTATGTTGTAGACTTTAAAAGAAGTTTCCTAAGGCTTTTGGAAACCTTTTAGAAAACATACAAATGGATGACCCAGCATTTTAAGCTTATTTTAGAAAAGAAAAAACTAGCAACACCAGTTTTGTGTCCTCGTTGACCTGGGAGGCCCCTCTCCAGCAGGAGGGGCAACCGCCAACATTTTTGAGAGTCAAGCAACGTCGCAAAACTGCGTTTTGCTGGCTGACAAGCGACATTTCTTCTGCTCAGGGCGGGTATGTAGTCTGTCTGATGTGAAAAATAACCCTCTGGAACTCTGCCAATGTGTTGAAAAGGTCATTAAACTGCTCAAAGATGTCCACCAATGAGGAGGTTCACAAGCAATCAGTCAGACTCTAGAACAGCTAGTGTGCTAAGCTTTAACAAACCACTGTTGGTTGTATGCCTTTTATTTCAGATTCTTCTTATAAAGAAAATGATTGATTCTCTCCTGCCCTTTCTTGTCAGCCACAATGTGCACTAAGGGACATCTGCCTTTAATTCTGTGAAAACACAATATGTAAAAGATTTTGAATTATCCCTGAAAACAGTCCCTAACAAATGCTTGGGTGGAAAATACAGAGTCGCCACATATTAGGAATACCATTCTAATATTGGGCAGGATTTCTTTTGGCTGTTTTGGCCTATTCTTAGTAACATGGATTCAACAAAGAAGTTGGACACAGGTTTATTTCTCTAGAAACTGATGTACTGTGAAAATCTCAGAAGATCGTCTTTTTTTCGAAAATTATCAAACCAGCACGTTTAAAGACTAGACTCAATAGAATCTTCCCCTCTGTCTCTGCTACCTGTGGTAAGTGTAAGTCCAGTGATGGTACCCTGGCACATCTTTTCTGGTTTCCATTTATACAGCAACATTTACAGCAGACAGTTAATCCCTGGTGGTCTCGCTGTGATTTTAGGCAGCTCCAATGCAACCTGCCTCTTCCGTCAGCTTTACAGCAAGCCCTCATGTTTGGTATGATCGTAGCTTGAAGGGTGATTCTAAAAGAGTGGAAATCGGTTTCCCCTCCTTACTTAAATAAATGGTGTAATGGACATGGTTTCATGTTTATACCTTGAAGAATTTCGCTACACTCTTTCAGGTTCCCATTTTCTTTAGATCTGGGGACCCTTCATTGACCATATTTGCAGAGAGAGACGTCAGCCTAAGAAATTGTATGTATTGCTTACACTTCATTGTACTATATAGTATTGACCCTGCTGAGTGTGTGCGTGTGTGTATTTGTGCTCTGACCTAATAGCACCTGGTGGCTGGGACAGAGTGGTCAGGAGCTCCCAGGACGACGGGCTCCACAAAGTCACCACCTCCTGAAAGCTGACAGCCAACAAAGAGCCATCGGCTGAGAAACTGCAGCACTCGGGTACCAGCCCATGATAGGCTCCGACAAAATCACACGACCAGGAAGAACCTTCATCTGTGAGCAGACAGTGTTAGATTAGTGACAAATACAGGCTGATTTGGTAAAGGATTAAATTGAACTGATGTGCTGAGAAAACAAAAGGGTAGAGCCTGGCACCAACAAAGTGACTTGATTCTTACAGATGCCTTTGAGGCTAAAAATGTGCTAAATCATGGTTCTTCAAATCACTTTGGATAAAAGAATCCACTGCATGGCATGATTGGCAGGGGGTGCACACTAAAAATTCAGAAGAATCCAAGCCAACGACAGAGACACTCCTTTGAGACGAGACGAGATAGTAATATATCACATTTTCAAGAGGAACTAGGGAAGACATATGGTCTGTATTTATACAGAGCCTTACTAGTCTTCATGACCACTCAGAGCGCTTCACTGCCATCAAGGTCAATCTGGGGCTCAGTATCCTGCCCAAGGAAATTTTGGCACGCAGAATGGGAGACTCAGAGACTGGGACTGCACTGCCCAAACTTCAATTGTATTGTAGTTTGAGTTTCCCCTTTTCTTAATATATAAATACATTACACATATAAACAGTCTCAACAAATATCAACAACCAAAACAGCTTTAACACCTTTTCTCTTTGTTCCCACTTTCTCTTGTTCAGTAAGAAAAGTAAACTCTACTCTACTCTAAAGCAGCGCAGGTTTAAGTAAGACTGCCGTAAATGTTAGAAAAGCTTCACAGGTTAAAATAGAAACGGTTCGTCGTTATCTAATAACAGGTCTGAGTTCGTATGGAACTGCCTCTGGGTCCGGTCCGCGGTCTGCCTATTGGGGACCTATGGTAGATGATCGTGGGCGATTTGTTTCACTTCAGCTCACTCTCAGGTGATTCCATGCTTTGACTGTGCGCAGCCACCTTCCTTACGAGCCTTTGAGGCACTTTTCGCAAGTCGAGTGATTAAGGAGGTTAAATACTCAAATGCTATGAATGTGGACAATTCAGACAAAGCTATACATGCTCTTCAGTGAGCATTAACTCCAAAAGAGCACTGTGCCTGTAGAATAAAATGGAGATACACACTTAACAAGTAAGACCAACACCAAAAATAACAGAGGCAGCGAAATAAAAGGGGGAGGTGTGGATATTACCGCTCACAGTGAAACTCAGACTTTTGGTAGAATAGACTTTCAGGAACAGAGCCTGAGTACTAACCTTGTGTGTGGGCTGGTACAGCCAGCTGCCAGGCTTTGAAGTGTCCGTCCTTGCTGTTGGTAACCAGCATGGTGGTCTGAATGTCGGCGGCATGGCAAAAGCACATGGCTGTAATCCGTGCCTCGTGGGGAGCCGAGATGGTCGTGTTCAGCACAAAACTGCAATAGACACGGTAAGCATCTTTCAGGGTGGTGGTTTGGGCTAAAGATAAAAAGAATTATGTCTAAGGCCTCTGCTCTTATTACCACTAAAAATAATTATTATGGTCTCTAAGATAATTACCTCACTGCAGTTGTATGCCTTCCCCAGCCAGTGCAGTTTCTGTGTATATATTTCCACATACTTTTTTTCCAAATTCATTTAAAGATCACTGTGACCTTTGGCAAAATATTCCCTGAAGCAGTCTTGATATATCACATTCAAGAGGCCAAAAACATGTTTTATGAAGCCAGTGTGACCACTGAAATCTAATCAATTGATCAGTGAGTCCAATATGTAATATGTCACATTCACAGTAATATGAGGTCACGGTGACCTTGACCTCCAGTTCATCTTCGAGTCCAAGTGAAAGTTTGTGCCAAATGTGAAAGAATTCCCTCAAGGTGTTTCGGAGATATTGCATTCACAAGGGGAAAAAAAGGTTTTGTGAGGTCAAAGTGACCTTGACCTTTGGCCACCAAATTCTAATCAGGTCATCCTTAAGTCAGAGTAAATATTTGTACCAAATGTGAGGAAATTACCTCAAGGCATTCTTGAATTATAGCGTTTACAGGAATGGGATGTACATTCGTTTGGACAGACGTACGGACAACATGAAAACATAATGCCTCCAGCCATTGACTGTCGCCAGCACAAAGGCATGAAAACACTACGAGGCTGAAGAACAAACTCTCGTGAATTTAGTCCATATCACTGACTGAAACACCAGCACACAGGCAAATGACTTCAGATGTACCTTTGTGTGTGCTCATCAAATGCCCACAGTTTCAAATTAAGCTCCAGCTCGGCTGCCTTCTGTTGTCTTTCTTCCACTGTTGCAAGCCAGTCTCCAGAGGCGGTGAAGGCCGCCTTGACCACCTCAAACTGCCTCAGACCCTCCTCATGAATGTATTCCTGCTGCACAATGTCCAGCTGCACAAAACACACAGGATGACCTCAGAACATGATATGACTGAATTAAATCAAGGTGCTGCTGTAGTGTTGATGGAGCATATGATTCAGAATGGATTTTTGTTCACATCCTGTATTTTAAAAGGGTTGTTAAGAAATGTAAACATATAAATATATGTATAGAATTTCAAGAGCAGAAATGGTGTTTCATCAACAAAAGTATTTCAAAATAATCCTAAACCTCACGTGCTCTGGGGTTTGTATGACATCTTAAACTCTAAGTGTGTATACAGCCGAGTGCTCACATTGTACAGCAGTTTGTCTCTTTGAAGGGAGTAAAACTGCAGGTGGCCTGGCTTGCCGTTCAAAACCATGGCTTTGCTGTGTGGGTCCACCATCAAATCTGTCCTCACCCCATCTCCTGCACCAGAACAGAAAACAGTCAGTTACTTCCTTCCATTTTAAATAACAGCTTACAACTTGTTTTTTGTCTCTTTTGTTTCGGCATGTCAAGGAACAAAGGCTGATGTGAAAGATGTAGAAGCATAACTGCTTTACAGGACACAGTTGAATTTTCTGCCATGTGACAGAATAATGCATTTACAGAAGATATGAAACAAGAGTCATCGCTCTGACTACACAATATTCCTAACATTCATTGACACAACATCAATGAATTTGAATAATACTCCTGATCCACATGTAACTGGATCCACCTGATTAAAAAGCCGCCACCACAGGTTTGTTTGAGTCCCTTTATCTCTCTTATGTGGTTGTCTGAAGACAGTAACTGATTATTTCTATATCGGTATTTCTATTTTTATACACCCTTGGTTTATTACAGAGTCAGCAACTTAATATATACGTAACTTCAGCTACTAGGGAATTTATAATCAAAATAACAGCAAAAGGCCTAGTTTGGTGACATTGTATGCAGTGTGGGATCCTGGGAGTTCTGATCTTCACCACAATTACTGATGAAAATCTACCTGACGCAACTCAGGCAGAAGTTACGTTGACAGATGAGGCCATGAAATGATGTTTTTTTCACAGAACGCATCAGGAGGTTACAGCAGAGACGGGCAGAGTCACGGGGAAAACTTAATTAAAAGGTGACCAAAATTAAACATGTTACCTAACCCTACTTGAATAAAACTGGGAATTTCTCTGGGTTTGAACATTGTTGGAAACATTTTGGAGAATCTAAGTAAACAAGTCAGTGTATAACATAGGTCTCGTAGTTTGTAGACATTTGAATGAAGAGTTGTTACATATTATGTCTTTAAAACCTTCTTCTATGATAGAGAAAATATTACTGAGAGACAAGACTGGTATGTGTTTATGTACCAGTCCAAACCTGTACTCACCTTTGACCAGGCCTTGAATGACAGCTGATACTTTAACACAGCTCTGGATGATAGTGATCTCTGAAATGGCAAAGAGACAGAAGTCAGTTTTCTATTAAGACTCAAAACTACATCAAGTCTATATTTATTTAGCATTCCTTTAATTTCTAATTGCACTGTTACCACAGCTATTATGGCTCGATATAGGTAAAAGCTCCTTACTGTTGTCACTGTGTGAGGTGCAGAACAGTGCTCCATCAGGTGAGACGACAATGTGTGTGATGGCAGCACCGAGGCGAGGCAGGAAGTCCTTCTGGGTCTCTTGGTTGTATCGCCACTGGACAAGCACCGACTCCACACCTCCACTCAGCAGGTTGGTACCTGGTCAAAGAAACCAGACATACAAACTTACAAGAAGAACAGTTACCTTATTTCGTTACTTTACAACTAAGTCAGAAGCAGGTTTTTGATTACACTTTATTGTATCATAGTGTATAAAAGAAATTGACCAAATGGCAAAGCAATGACTGATGTGTGTACCTTCTGGAGTGAAGCACAGTGAGCCGACAGCACCATGGTGCCAATGCAGCGCGGAATATGTGTACTCCTTCTTGTGGTTGAAGTTTCTCCTGAAAGGGTAAACATACAGTGAAGTTGTACCTTCATCCATACTGTATACACATGATGCACCATCCAAAGCACTAAAATGGTGCCTTAAACATATAAAAGTGGAATTCACTGCAATTAATATCAAGCTAAATTCTCAAAACAAAGGGGCAGCAGCTGATTAGTCTAAACAATTGTTTAGAATAGTCAACACACTGGGTGTGAGTGTATGTGCTTCAAAGCCAAGTTGTCACTCCACTTACCACAAGCGAATCTTTCCATCCTCATGCCCGGTGGCAATGCAGTCATCTTTCGGGTGACACGCAACACATGTGAATGTGTTCTTTCCTCCTTTCTTGTTGTCTTCTTTGAGGAAAAACCTTGAAACCCACACATGGACAGTGTTATTATACATCCTCATGACTTACGTGGGTTTGTACATCTTGGGTTTAATGATAATTTGTCATTCAAGACAACTTCACTTTGTCTCCACAGACTGAACTGCCATAAACATATTTATTCATTTATAATCAAAAGCTGTAAATGAGCTACTATTTTAAAATAACATTGAAAAAGAATGTGTGATGATCATTAATTTATTTTCTGATACTCCGGCTTACCTGTATGATTTCTGCTTCTTGAAGAAGAAGACCTCCAGCTGCGGACCTTTAGCTGAAGCAATATATTCCCCCTGTGAAAACGATAACATTTGCTTACTACCGCAAACCAGCTGGATCATAATTTAAGAAGTTAAGCCAGAACTGCCTTGGAATCTTGTTGGATAACTGTGTAAACTTGAAGTGAGGTTTGTTCCACTTTTACCAACAAATGGAACTATGTTCCTAAAAGATTATTTGTGAGGCTATATTTTTATTTTTGGATGAAAAAAAAACAAGCCAATTCATCTTAAAATGATTTTTTTTTTGTGGTTTTATTGAGATTTTTGTGAACAGTCTGAATTAAAGCTATAGATATCTCTCATGACAAAAATATATTGTCTTAAAGGTTCAGTGTGTAGAATTATTGCTGAATTTGCATGTTGAACCAATATACCCCTCACCTCACCTTCTCCTTCCAAACATGAGCAAGAACCTGTGGCAGCCCTCAGTTAAAAACTCAAAAAGGTGTTTAGTTTGTCCAGTTTGGACTAATGGCAACCTCCGTAGAGAGAGGACTCACGCCTGATGTAAATATAAAGTATTTAAATATAAAGGGCCCATTCTGGGGTAAAGAAAACAACAATTTGCACAATTAAGATGAAACACACTGGAGAAAACATCACTAGGGTTATTTTATATAACATTTTTGCTGATAGATCCCTCTCACCTAAATCTTAAACACTGCACCTTTAGGAGTATTTTAATTTGGCAAAGCAGAGGAAAGGTTACTCAGCAGGGGTGGGGGGGGTGATCAGTTTTGTGACTGTAACAGTTGACGAGGTATGTTGGTGTCAGAGGTTGTGTGTGCGTACCCCTCTACCAAAGGCAATGGCTGTGGGCTTTGGGCTGACGTCTGGAAGCACAGCAGACAACTCTAGGGCCTCTACCAACTGTTCTCCACTCTGCGGCAGTTGAACCGCAACCAGCTGGAACAACTCTGTGCATGTACAGACAAAAAGCACACGCATACACAAACACACACACACAGAGTCAAAAATCTGCCTATGACACACTTTTACCCAATGACCTCCTACCCAGTTTCTTCTTTGCACATGCTAAAGCCCCTGTGAGAGAGAATGTTTCTAGTGACTCCTGCAGGTACAAAAAAGGATTATGAAGTTGAAAGCAGCACCCCCTGATCTGACACGAAGACACTAGAGCCTGGCTGCTGTATTAGACTGTTGGACAAAACTATTTGCAACTCAACAACTCAAAGTCACAGATATTATTCAATCAAACTAACATCACTCAGTTTTGTTTGACATATCACTCACCTTCGAACCACAACTTAAAAAGTAGTCCATACTCATTATCATAACCATCTCCAAAAAATAGCCTGTACTTTCGTCCCGGACTTGCAAAAAGTGATTCATGCACTATTCTTCTCTAGACTGGGCTACTGTAACTCCCTCATCTCTGGCATCAGCCAAAAGTCCCTCTCCCACCTCCAACTAATTCAGAACGCAGCAGCTAGGCTACTCGCTGGTCTTAAAAGGCAAAATCACATCACCCCGATCCTTGCCTCTCTAAATTGGCTCCCTGTCCATTTTAAAATTGATTTTAAGAATTATTGATCCCTTATGTGCCTGCACGCAGCCTTAGATCCTCAGGTGGAGCCCTGCTTGCTGTTCCAAAGTCGAGGTTGAAAACGAAAGGTGACCGTGCCTTTGCCATCAGGGCCCCTCGGCTTTGGAACGGTCTAGATGAGGAGATAAGGCTTGCAGAGTCAGTGACTTCTTTTAAATCACTTCTAAAAACCCACTTTTATAGACTTGCTTTCATGTGATTTTATCGTTTTCTTTTCACCTTTTATTTTACTTATTTTTTTGTCATTTTACTGCTTTTACCTGTTCCAGTTTTGATTTACTTTTCTTACTTTGTTTGTCGAAGCACTTTGAAAAAGTGCTATATAAATAAAGTTAATTATTATTATGGAGTCATGGTCCCAGTTTTCAGCAGGAGGGTCTAATTTTTTCTACAAACAAAACCATTCAATGATAAAACCAGCAAAACCAGTCTTTAATTTGAATAAAAGGTTGTAAATAGTAGTCTTGTTCTGCAGTGCTGTACAGCATTATTAGTTATTATTCTTCTCTCTTGGTTTCATGTAGCTCGTATAACACTTAATTTGGGTTCAGACTGAAATCACCAACAATAAAATGATTCACTCCCATTTTCTTCAATCAAAGCTCACACAGTAATGGATACTGAGACAGTTGAGGTACAAAAACTCAAGAAAACATCAAAATCAACGTACCAGATCTTTGGTCACTTTTGGAGACAACAATAAAGATGACTCCTTCATGGTTTGCAGATGCATAGATGGAGTAAATTGGGAATCCGATGACATAAGTCTGGAAGAGATCACACAGCTGTTACTCGTGGCGTTCAGAGTGACATCAGAGAAAATTCATCTGACCACTAGTCCTTCACTACTATGTGGCTGCATGTAAAGATGGCCTGAGTGTTGGGAAGGGCTCTCAAAACAAAATGAATAAATGATATGCCGTAATTGACATTAATTTGAAGACAAAGTGGACAGGGTGTGCATGTGGGTGCTGGAATGGGATGAGCCACAGTGAAAGCAAACAGGCGAGAGAAGATAATACAAGAATCAAGTTGTACCTTAATAAGGATGCCATCTGTAAAGTCCCAGAGTCTTACAGTGCCATCTGTTGAGCAAGAGTAGACCTACAACAAGACAATAACACATCAGCAAAGGAGAAGAAAGGGAATGAGTGGATTTTTTTGGAGTATCACACGTTAGTGCAGTTTCATGTTCATAAAATGTCAGGAAGAACACTGCAACATAATCTCACAGTAAGATCTGCGCTAACCCTGACCAAGTTTTAGTCTGATACACAAACACAACCATGACAAAAAATACAGGAAACATAGATATTCAACAGGGGTATGATGGGACAGAGCATGTAGGTGGGTATTCAACCTGCTACATGTTTTCTTATGATAAACAAAAGCGATTGAAGCAAGGATAAATGTAACAATGCAGGCTTAAAATATCTTCATGTGATAATGGACAACAACATGACAGAATAAAATAAAGAAAATGACTGAATGAGGAATTAAACTTTGCAGCAGTGAGAGGCCTGCTGCAAAGGTGAATGAATGACATGATTGCACGTTTCCATAACCTCAAATAATCACACAAAACCTATAGTACATGTGTGGTTGAGTGCCTTCATATGACGGAGTATTAGGGCCATTTTGAATTAAAGATTTCAAGAAAAATGTTGTAATAAACAAAGTTGTGAACATGATAAAAGAAATGAAAAAATCAATATTATGAGAATAAGGGGAAAAAAACGTTCTAATGAATAAGCTGCAAGGAGCATCCGTGTTTCACTCCTGGATCCAAATGATTGATTACCAATATCATTGTTTCTTGAGAAACTACAAAACGCGTTTGAAAATCACACATATAGACGATGGTAAAACACAGTCAACCACTACTAAACATCTCCTCCTCCACAAAAACAAGGCAATTTCCTCCAAGTCTGTGTGGGTCTTTCTTCAGAATAGAAATAGTTTCTGCACCATCTCTTCAAAGCCCTGATACTTATGATAAAGTATTTCATCATTTGTGAGACCTATACTAAAGTATCACTCAAAAAGATGCTCCATATTCCTATTTTAATGCAGGCTACATCACAGACTGATCTTCTGATATCTCATTAAAACTCTTAAATTTATAAATGTATTCCCGAAAAGTTACAACCTTTTTAGTCGTATTTTTACTTTGTTCTCGAAATCTCACTTTTATTAATCATGTGGCCCTAAGACAAATATTTGTCATAGACAGATACATAATTCATATTTTATGTATATATATATATATATTATATAATGAGCCATAAATAAGTGGAACAGTTGCTGGTTTCAAAGTCACAATCTGCTGCTTTTCTGTGTTTTATATCTGCACCATTAAATTTCTTTTAGTTTCGGGCTATGGCTCGGACAAAGCAAACCTATATCTTTAGTCCTCTTATGCAGGAAGAGGAAATCAGGACATTAAAAGAATGTTGTTTATTTGTTAACTAGTACACTAGAGAGAAGAAGGCAAGTTCGTAACAACCAGTGTGTGTGGTTCGTTGCATTCTTGAAGATAAGCGTACGGGTTGTACTGAGTAGCTCTCAGTGGAAGTGAGACGGCATGCTCCTGCTCTCTGTGTGATGGCTGTGTTGGGAACAGTTGAGTGTACCTGCAGGTGGTTGGAGGGTTTGAGCAGCACTCCTGTCACCAGGCCGGTGTGACCCCGCAGGTCGTGGATACACTCCTCGGTGGAGGTGCTGAACACCTTCACACACTCTCCCGAGGCGCACAGGAGGAAGCTGCAACACCGTCAACACACAGTCGACACACAGTTAACACGAGGAGCTTTCACGTTACGGACAAAGTCGGACCTTCAGTTGTTCACGCGTGTTAAAATTGCCGTGGAACAACCTGGTGACACTTTTGTAAACAGCGGCGGAAACATTAGCAGCTTGTGTTGCTAACGCTAACAGCTAGCGCCGGCTTTTGAACGTAGAAACTTGAAAAGACGCGAGAACATCTTTCACCCGTTAAAACACGTAATGGGGTTGAACATACACACTGACCTCGAGTCGTTGGTGATGACGGGCTGCCTGAAGTTTATTTTGCTGCCTCCTCGGTGAACCACGCGGACATCCCCGTGCTCAAGCATGTTTTCACCGAAGTCAACTTTTACCTCTGACCTCTGACCCTTCCCTCGTTATGTTTATGCGCCGCTTCAGGAAAGCCAGTTCACTGACGTTATACTGCCACCTGCTGGACGGGAGTGTAAGGGAGCTGGCGTGAGGATAGAGGGATGTATTTTTTATTCTTCACCACTGGTGTATTTACAAAACAATACAAACAGATATATCACGACGTGAATCTGGATTGTCATGTTTGTTATTTTGAGCTGTTAGAGGGTCATTGACATTTTAATCTTGTTGATCTAAGGTTGTTATTTTTAAATCTCAACGTGGCAGAATAGGAAACATAGCACATCCATAGATGGAACAATCTCACATGTTAGGAACGGGTATGACCCTCTACAGATCTTTCCTTCTGCATTGAAATACACAGACAACCTCAGTTCAAACCAACATATAGTATTCCATCTGGAACATTTATTCATGAATGAGTGTACGATTTATTACAGCACAAATAATATGGTCGTATCTTTAGAGGCGAAATAGGCAGAACAACAGTGAAACAGTTAAAGCAAAGAAAATGGGTGTTTAATAGCTTGTTAATTAGAAAAATAGTTCCAGAAATAAAATCTAGATCAATATTACTAATGATACATTTGCGGTTCTGTTGCTTTTATTTAAAAATACAACAAACACACATTCAAGCATCTTGCAGTAAAGCCATAGGAGATTATAACGGTCTCATCCGTAGGATTGTTGTTTTCTTCTCATAAGAGGAAAAGTTGTGTCAGACATTTCTTTCTTAACTCCTCCAAACAGAAGGAGCAGTAATCATCAGAAACATTGTGAAACCTGATGCTGGAATTGAGTCAGAGTTGGAGAGGCTGAGCTGGAGTCTGTTGATTTGAGTTATTTTACACAAGTTCTAAAAAGCAAGCATCATTAAGCTTGGTTTTAGGGCCTCAGATATCTTTTGAGACACATTGAACCCACAATTACCGACAGAAATCTCCAACCCTATCAGTTCATGTCTAACGTCATCGAGGGCTCTTTTGTGAACCAATTAGGATCCACAATAACCTTCAGATTCAACAGTCAGTATCATCATGAGGTGTGTTGATCAGCATCGATGGTGCGGGAGAGTGTGTGGAAGTATCATCTCATGTACTGTGTGTTGCTGTGGTGCGGAAATGAAGCGACGACAGCAAACAGTGCAGACAGCAGTGGTCGTGTAGTGAGAGGGAGCGACTCTGACTGCTGAAGGATCTGCTTTCACAACCACCAACACTGGCCAGGTTCTCCCACTTAGAATGATCCCCCTTTGCGCCCCCCGGCCGAGGTCCTGAAACAGACAAAGCAGAACAAGTACCAAGGCCGATAAAGCCTAGTTTACACGTCCTGTGTTTTTAGTTTCCCGTGTCAGAGCTACGACTGACAGGAAGTCAGCAAACACTGAGAGAGGGCGGGAGCATGTGTGTGTGTGTTAGACGGAGAGGGAGGGAGAGTGTGTGTGTGAGTGTGTGGGAGAGAAAGGGGGGGTGAGCAGTGGACCAAACCACTTTGAGGCAAAGAGAGGGAGTAATCTGTCAAAGAGTGAGAACGCTGTTTRTGTGTCTGTAGTTGACGAACAAGCGTTCAGTGCATATTGTATTACTGCTTCAAATCATGTCGGTGATATGATTGATGGTGTCTGCAATGATATTAAGGGGGACAACTCTGTGGATAGGGGAGTCCGGAACACCCTTCCCCCCACACAGTGAACAATGGAACACACACATTCCTCTCAGAGGGGGGGGGGTTGTGGGTTGTGGGTGGATCTTTTGGTCTCTTGCCTGCAACCAACCAATCAAGCTGCCGTGGCGGAGGGCTCTGTAAAAAATTTCCCATCAGCCCCGTGAGCTTGTGAGAAATGTGGAAGTTTATAATGTAAATATAGGAATATATATATTTTATAATAATAAATGCAGTTGATAAAGCAGCTCCCAAAGAGAGTGTGTGTGTGTGTGTGTGTCTGCTTCTGTCTGAGCTCCACGTGAGGTCACAGAGTTACAGCACCAGGACAAAGGACAGTGTCRGACTCTACAGTGTTTATAACGCGTTAATAAACAGAGTGAAGATGTGAAACTTCGGTTTCACATATACTAAAATTGGAACGATACAGAGAAGATTAGCATGGCCCCTGCGCAAGGATGACACGCAAATTCGTGAAGCGTTCCTCATTTTTCATCATTTTTCATAACTTTATGAAATATTTTGCAGTAACCTGATCCTCCAGCAGATGGCGCCTTGTCCCYCAGGAGAGGGGAACTGCYGAAGCTGCTCATCAAGATGACAAACACTGAAGAATATAATAAGGGCTAAAACAATAGTGASTTTGATTCAAAATGATTTGCACATGAGGAAAAGGTTCAGACTTAAATAGAGAAMTAAATCTATCAGAGGTAGAGCTAGAGAACTACACTACCCACAATTCTTGTTTTAGGTTCTCACACAACTGTCGCTGTCCACAGCTCCTCCACTTTGAAACGTGTTTGTGTGTTTCTAAAGAAATCACCTGATTTGCTGCAGTTCAGCCACAATCACGTCACATGTCCAGATCGAACTCACGCATCTTCTACCTGTGCCCGGTGGACAGAGGACGGGGGCGGAGCTGACCCGGAAACACAACAACGTCAGAAACAATGCGTCAAAAACCTCGATACAATAATTCACATCAAATCAACAGTGAATAAAAAGGGAAGACGATCAAAATAAAAAAAAATCCTGTTTTAAGAGATGAGTCTTTACAAGTGATTTAAAAATGGAGAGAGAGTCAGTGTTGTGTGTGAATGTCTGGTGGGAGGGACTTCCAGGGGAGGGGGGCGGAGCTGCTCGAGGCATGGCGGGAAAAACGGGCAGGTGGTACAGTGAGGCTGCGGGAGGGTGTGTCAACGTGCAGGAGTTCACAGAGCTGTGGTGGAGAGAGACTGTGGATGTTGAGGAGGTGAAAGTGTGTGGACCGAGTGACATTACTGACATCAGGACTTGATTTCCTGTAGGCGGTCCGAGAGGGAGGGAGGCGGGAGGATGGAGGCGGGTTTGGTTGAAAGGTAGAGCTGATGGGTGTAATATATTAACAATAAGAATAAAAAGGATAACAATAATAATGATGATGATAATGATAATAATAATATAAACACATGTTGAGCAACATCTCTCGTGACAGACACACAGTGAACCTGTGGCGGGTAGAAGCCCTCCAGGTGTTTGGTCTCTGTAGAGAGGGAGGGCCAGRCTGGTGGAAACATTAAGGGCCCATTCTAAGGTCAAGAGACTTCATTGAGATGATGACACACTAGTGAAAACATCACTAGGATTATTTTAGATCCAATTTCTGTCAATAGATCCCTTTCACCTAAATCTTACACACTGGAGCCTTTAAGTGCACGTGACAAYTAATAATACAAACAATAGCACACGTATAACAAGTCTAATGAGCAGTCAGAGAAGAGTGTAAAGTTAAAATAAAGACTTTATRACAGTAAAGTACTACCTCCTCCTCCWCCTCCACCTCCTTCCTCTCTGCCCCTTGTCCTAACTTTTTGGGAGACGCCCACCGTCGTGTCCTAACTTTGCTCAGCCAATGGGAAGGTGGCCAATTTCTCAACGTGCGATTGGCCGTGTGAGTGTTGGC